ATCTTGAGCAAAAAGAACAAAGTTTAGACCCTACTTGACTTCAAAATATACTACAAAACTAAAGTAATTAAAATAGCATGGTACTGGCTTGGCACCTGTAGTATAGAGGTTATGGCACATACACCAGGGCTGGAGGGTTGGAACCCGGACTGGCTAAACAACAATGACAACTGCAACAAAAAAATAGCCAGGCATTGTGGCAGGCCCCTGTAGTCCCAGCTACGTGGGAGGCTGAGGCAAGAGAATCACCTAAGCCCAAGAGTTTGAGGCTGCTGTGAGCTGTGAAACCATCGCACTCTACTGAGGGCAACATAATGAAACTCCTGTCTCCAAAAAAAAAATAGCATGGTACCGGCATGAAAACATATGCATAAACCAACTAAACAGAACAAAGAGCCCAGAAATAAATCTACCCATTAATGGTCAAAATTGATTTTAATAAGGGTCAAAAATACACAATGAGGAAAAGACAATCTCTTCAATAAATAGTATTAGGAAAATGGGATACCCACCTGCAGAAGAAGGAAATTAGACCCTTATCTCACCCTAAAGAAAAAAATCAACTCAAAAAGGATTCAAGACTTAAATATAAAACTCCAAACTGTAAAAGTACTAGCAGAAGACCAAGGGGAAAAGCTTCATGATATTGTCTGGGGAGCAATGACTTGTGTCACCCTCAAAGCATAGGCAACAAAAGCAAAATAGACAAATGAAATTACATCAAATGGGAAAGATTCTACACAGCTAGAGAAACAACAGATTGAAGAGACAATTATGGAATAGGAGAATATATTTGCTAACTGTACATCTGATAAGGGGCTAATATCTAAATAGGTAAGAAACTCAAACAATACGATAGTAAGAAAACAAACAATCTGATTATAAAGTGGGCAAATGATGTGAGTAGACATTTTCAAAAGAGGACATATGAATGGCCATCAGGTATATGAAAAACCTGTTCAAGGCCGGGTGCAGTGACTCATGCCTGTAATCTCAGCACTCTGGGAGGCAGAGATGGCGGACTGCTTGAGCCCAGGAGTTCTAGACCAGCCTGAGCAAAAGTGATACCCTATCTCTACTAAAAATAGAAAAACTAGCTAGGTGTTGTGGTGAGTGCCTGTAGTCCCAGCTACTTGGGAGCCTGAGGCAAGAAAATTGCTCAAGTCTGAGAGTTTGAGGTTGCTGTGAGCTCTCTGATACCATGGCATTCAATCCAGGGTGGCAGAATGAGACTCCATCTCGGAAAAAAAAAAAAAAGAAGAAGAAGAAAGAAAGAAAAAACTGTTAATATCACTAATTATTAGAGAAATGTGAATCATTTTCTATTTATTTGTTTTAGAGATGGCATCTTGCTTTGTTGCCCAGGCTGGACTCAATTCCTAGGCTCAAGAGATCCTTCCTTCTCAGTCTCCCAAATAAGAGTAACTAGAACTACTACTGGGCATGTGCTACTGCCACCACACCAGGGTCACAGAAACAAAAATTAAAACTACAGTGAGATATTACCTTACACCTCTTAGAATGGCTACTATCAAAAAGACAACTGATAACAAGTATTGAAGAGAATGTAGGGGATGTACTGTTGGTAGGAATGTAAATTGGTATAGCTATTATAGAAAAAAGTATAGAGGTTCCTCAAAAATTTAAAAATAGAACTCTCATGTAATCCAGCAATCACAGTGGTATATCCAAAGGAAATAAAATCACTATCTCAGAAAGATATCTGCACTCTCATCTTTAATGCAGCATAACAGCGAACACATAGAATCAATTTAAGTGTCCATCAAAAGATGATTAGATAAGGAAAATATGATAATATACACAATAAAATACTATCTAGTCTTGAAAAAGATGGAAATCCTGCCTTTGTGACAACCTGGATAAACCTAGAGGATATTATGTTAAGTGAAATAAGTGAGGCACAGAGAGACAAATACTGCATGATCTCATTTATAGGGAATCTAAAAAAGTACTCACAGAAGTAGAGAGTAAAATGGTAAGGGGAGAGAAGAAAAAGAAGTAATGAAGGTCTGTTAAAAGGACTCAGGCATGTCCGGTGACTGCTCAAAGGGGACAAATCAGGGACAATCTGAGGATCAAAATGAATACTGGCCATAATAAATTATAACACATTAAAAAATTAAGTCCATATTGACAGTAATTTATGCAAAGAAAAAAAGAGAAGAAAAGCTATTTATTTATTTATTTGTTTATTTTTGAGACAGAGCCTCAAGCTGTCCCCCTGGGTAGAGTGCTGTGGCATCACAGCTCACAACAACCTCCAACTCCTGGGCTCAAGCAAGTCTCCTGCCTCTGCCTCCCAAGTAGCTGGGACCACAGGTGCCTGCCACAACGCCTGGCTATTTTTTATTTATTTATTTATTTTTTTGTTGCAGCCATCATTGTTTGGTGGGCTGGGGCTGGATTTTAACTCGCCACCCTAGGTGTATGTGGCTGGCGCCCTAGCCACTTGAGCCACAGGCGCCGAGCCGGAAAGCTATTTATTTTTATTAAAATGAAACTAATACATATAGAGAAATATAAGTATAGTACCATCAAACAATAGTTCTCACAGTAAGAATCCTAAATAGGTGCTCAGATGAAAGCTTTTGAGAAATAGCTACACAAAGACTAGGTATGATGTGTCATGCCTCTAATCCCAGCACTTTGGGAGAAGAGGTGGGAAAACTGCTTGAGGCTAGAAGTTTGAGTGAGACTCTCATCTCTACAAAAAATAGAAAAATTGGCTCGGTGCCTGTGGCTCAAGTGGCTAAGGTGCCAGCCACATACACCCAAGGTGGCGGGTTCCAATCCAGTCTGGCCCTGCCAAACAACAATGACGGCTGCAACTGAAAAACATAGCCGGGCATTGTGGCGGGCACCTGTGGTCCCAGCTACTTGGGAGGCAGAGGCAGGAGACTCGCTTGAGCTCAGGAGTTGGAGGTTGCTGTGAGCTGTGATGCCACAGCACTCTACCCAGGGGGGACAGCTTGAGGCTCCTGTCTCAAAAAAAAAAAAATTAACTGGGCACGGTGGCATGTATGATTGTAGTTCCAGCTGATTGGGCGGCTGAGGCAAGAGGACCACTTTAGCTTGGAAATTCAAGGTTACAATATATTATGATCTCACCACTGCACTCTGGCCTGGATGACAGAACAAGATCTGGTCTAAAAAAACTAAACAAAATGACAACAACCACCCCAAAAACACCCCAAAACAAACAAACAAACAAAAAACCCTCAAAACTCTCTATAGATAAAATTCATCTGGAATTAATTTTGGATGTCTAATATGAGGTGAGAATCTAAATTGATTTTTTTCTCTCAAGAATAAAAGCCTAGTTTTTCATCTCTTTCCATAGAAATTAAACCGTGAACGAATATAAATATTAGACTGTAAGCTTCTTGAGGACATAGACTGTGTTATATTCACAATTTTATGCCTAGTCAAATTAGTGATTCAAAAAATGTTTGTGGAATGCATGTTTTCTTTGGTCATACATGGAGTTTCTCTGTATATTTATATACACCAAAAGTTGTCTTGGCTGGGCTATCTATTCTGTTCATATGCTCTCTAGGTCTATTATATACTTTCTGGTACGTTTATGAAATATTAACAACTGGTGGACTAATTACTAGGAAGGACTTTTTTGCAAGGAGGGTCTTTTTTTGGAAGGCATCTTTACACATCTTTATGGGTTGAGGAGGAAGAGTCATTGGAAAAGGAGAAGTTATAGATAATGTTGCGAGGGAGACAGGTGGGGCTGGGAGGATTGAGCTGGGGAAAAAGAGGCCCATTTTACTCAGAGGTAAGGGAAACAGGACAGGGCAGAAGAGGATGCACAGGTAAATGTTGTGGCGGGGTTTGCGAGGTTGCTAAGGGTCACACTCAAATAACCTTGGCTTTTTCACTTGGGTAGAAGATGAGATGAGATTCTCTGCTGAGAATGACAGTCAAGGTGATAGAGTGGTGGTGGTGGTCTGGCACAGCAGTAATTTGGAGTAGAAAAAGAAGTTGACTACGGACTCCTAGAATGATTGCTGAAAGGCCCAGTCAAGGAGTGGAGGATGGTGAATGGGCTTTTGTAGGTACCCATTCGCAGGTTTCTGATACTCTGCAGCTGCTGAAAACACCAACTCAAGGAAACTAGGTAGAGATGTGAGAAAACTCTTGAGGAAAAGGGCCCGCAGAATTTAATTAAAATAATACCTCGGTTTAGGTTTTCTCTCCTTTCTGTCCTTCCTGCCAAGGTCTGCAGTTGGGTTCAGCAGACTTTGGCATATTTTCTGCAGTTAACACACAGCCCTCTTAGTAGGACAAAAATGACGAATAACGCCAACCAGCCTGAGCGAGAAAGGGATTGGAAACTTTACCAGCATAAGTATATGCATCACAAAACCTAAATGAAAACGTTAACAAAAGAGCCAACACCACATACTCTGGGTCAGACACTGTGCTGATCGTTTAAGTGCATTTACTAAATCCTCAGAAAAAATATTAAATGGGTCCTATTATTAACCCACGTACACGTCAGAGGTCAGACGTTGAAACAAACCAGCAATTTGTTTAAGCCAGCACGGCTATTGAAGACATGCAAGTCTGAAAACAGTCTTGGCTCTTAACACCGCTGCTCTGTACTACAAGTGAATTGTCAGTCCAGTAGGACGCCGAGGTGACAACGCGTAACATATATTACGAGTGCCCACAGTATCGAACACATACGGTAACTGCGGTCCAGCCTGTTCCCACCCGGTGACCTCCGAACGCGTGATGCTCACGCGCGCGGTCCTCCCAGCTTCCTCTACGAAGGCTGAGGCCGAGGCAGCTTCCAAACGGTGGGGACGACTCTATCTGGGCTGGACTCCTTTTGCCTGAGCATCAGATCTGAGCGTCGGGCAGGCCCCCGGGACGAGAGGGCGGAGCCGGCTCCCGGGAGAGATTGCGGATTGGAGGGGCGGAGAAACAGAGGGCGGAGCCTCGGGGGGAAGCGAGAAGCAGCAGCTACCCGGTAAGCAGCTGCGCTTCCTGCCGCAGCTGCTGGCGGCCGGAGTGTTGAAGTGCTGCTCTCCGGGGCCGGCTTCCTGGGCCTGAGCCGAGTGAAGCGGTGGTTGGGGTGGAGGGCTGCCGGCCGGGCTGGGGCGGGAGGCGCAGGTAAGGGGGCGGGCCTGAGGCACGGCTGCTGGGGCTGAGACCGGGAAGAAGGCCAGTTTAGAGAGCTGCCGGGCCAGAACGAGAGGAAGGCGCCACAACCGGGGGCTGAGGCCTGGCTGCAGCCCAGGCTGGGCAAGGAAGGACACAGGACCTGTCACTGGAATTAACTGGTTCTTCTGATTGCCTGGCTGTCCCTTGTCTTCCAGTGGGTACGGGAGCCGGGTGGGGCTCTTCTTGAATAGAGCTCCTTGGACACATTTGGAGTTCCCTTGACTCTCTCTCTTCCCTTATGTCTGAACTTATTTTGGCAGTGAATAGTCCACTCCCATTTCTCCCCGAGGGAATGAACTGTAAGTCTGTGTGTCACAGGTGCATCTGAAAGTTCGTGAGCTCCAGAAACGACGACCGTGGAATTTCTAATATGTGTATATCACCTTAAGTGCTGGCCTCTGCTGTTTGAGGAGATTCCGTTTCAACTTATGTTTCAGAGTCTCTTTGGAGAAGGACTTAGTTTCCCACTTGCTATTTTCCCTTTGCTTAGAATGTTCCTAACAAGAGGGTGGAAATGGAATGCGGTGTATGCTAGTGGGAATTAGGAGTCTTCTGTCTAATTCAGAGGTTGTTCCTAAGACATTCAAGAAATATGAGAAATAGTAGAATTCTGTATGAAGCAATTATTTCTGTGTATCTGGTGTGTTGATTCAGTGCATCCTGTGCTGTAAAATTAGTGCAATATTGACAGTAGAGCTAGGCACTTGGTATATTGTGTTATTACTTGGTGTATTGTGTGGATCTCCTTTTTTGGTACTCCAAAGTGCCACTTTGTCAGTATTGTTACAAAGAATGTTCTTAGTTTCTTTCTCTTGGATGTGAGTTTGTGACAAAGATTGGATAGGTTCAATCTTTTCTGTTCAGGAAGACTAAATTTCCTGTGTTTTCTCTTTTTCTTCTTTCTGGGAACAGTAATGTGGATCATATTGTGCTTTTCCTTTAGTGCTTCTGTTGGTGTGTCACTCAAAAGTTGAACAAAAAAATCTTTGTTGGTGGATACTAACGTTTATAGTATTCAACTGTCCTGAACTATTAGATGCGTTTTGAGTATTTTTAAAATCTTTTACTTACTTAGAAATGACCAGGCTGAAGCTTCAATTTTCCATCTGCTAAAATTTTGAGATTGGCTGGTAGATAAGCTTGTTTTCTGCATTTTTAAATACCTGATTAGCTTTCTAATTGCCTTTAGCAACAAGGTAAGAGTATATAGTAGGTCTGCATATACTAGTAACCTTGAAATGAGAATTATTGATGATACATCAGAGATCTTTGGATAGGTAGGTTAATACTTCTAATTATCTGTCAGGAAAGAGTCCTAGTTTATGTTATGAACAGTTCCTAAGGTGCCAAAGAATAAGTTGTAAGGTATTTTTTTTCAGGACCCTAGTGTCCTTACATGATTGTTAGGATTAAATCTATGTGATTGTATTTGTATTTCAGAGACTACATTTGCAGAGTGTTTTTATGGGAGTTTTTATGTTCATATATTCAAAGCCAAATGAAAATTTTGGTGTTCAGATAATCTTTTAAAGTGATTTGAAAACTCTTTAGGCAGATTGCTGTCTTTTTTTGTTGTCGTTGTTGAGATAGAATCTCAATTTGTTGCCCTCCTTGGTAGAGTGCGGCTGGTATTGAACTCCTGAGCTCAGGCAATCTACCCTCCTCAGCCTCCCAAAGTGCTAGGATTACAGGTGTGAGCCTCTGTGCCCGGCCCTAGCTGTCTTTGTTTCTGATGATACTTGTGTGGAAGCAGAATGTAGGCTGTTTCCACAGAGCTGTTATCACCATCACATCCTTTTCCTCCAGTGCTCTTTTATTTTTCTATTTTAATTTTTATTTATTTTTTTCCTTTTATTACGTCATATACACATAGATCATGAATACATTTATTCATTTGTGGGGTACAATGCATTGATTTTTTATACAATTTGGAGTGCTTACATCAAACTAATCAATATAGATTTCACCTCATTTAGTTGATTATTCTTTTAAGACATTTATGTTCTATTCTTGATAGATTTGACTTGTACCCTTGCAATATGCTCCATACCCCTCCCTATCCGCCCCCATTTACCGTCCCTGTATCAAACCTCGACCCTCGCCTCCCATCCCCCTCCACTTCTCTCCTTCATCCTAGGCTATAGTTGTGATCTGTCTTTCATAAGAAAGTGTGAGTAATTATGTTTTTTTTTTTGAGTGTATACTTGATCAGTCATGAGCTTATTTATGCTGGAAATATGGAGTGTCATGACACTTTGGAAGTATTGTTTTACTTTCTCTGATAAAAGATAATACTGGAGAACTTCCTCCCCCTTCTCCTGTTTCCTTTCTTCTATTATTCCTTCCTCCTTTCCTTTTCCCTTCCTCTATTTTCCCTTTCCTCCCCCCACCCCTGTCCCTTCTAACATACATTTCTTGCCAAAATTTTGTTCAAGTTAGTGCCTTCACTTCTCCTTTAATTTATTAATTAAATTATTAATCAGGCAGAGTCTTGAGTCATTAGAGAATTCAGATAGCTTTGAAATTGGAAGTCTGAAGAGCTACAAAAGTGATTTTGATTTAAAGAAGAATTTTGGGGTTTCTGACTGTGTAACCCTCAATGAATTTGTTTTATGTTCAGCGTGTCTTGGTTTCCTCAAAGGTAAAACATAGTAGTAAGGCCAGCTCTGTGTGCCTGCAGGATTTTTGTAAGCATATAATGAGATGGTAGATATGATATTGAATGTGAAAAGCACTTTGCAAGAGTGTAATATCCTCTTTGTAACATGTAGATTAGATTATAAATAGCATTTTAATGACTAAAGTCATGCTTGGTTTTTTCTCTTGGAAATATAAGTCAATATGGCAGAAAATAGACATTAATGCTTTTCTGTAACTTCCAAATGGTGATGTGGTTAGCTTTATTGCTTTGGTTGAATTATGATTTTTGGTTATTTAGATAAAATTCTTGTAAGAAGTTTCATCTTAATGTCTATGAGTTGAGGCTTAAAGGGAAGAAAAACCAGGTTCACATGTCTAGGAGGAAAGACGATGTGAAACCGCTTGTTGACTGGAATAGTTGTCATAGGTAATGAAAGCATCGCTTCAGGTAATTGTTAAGGTTATATAGAAATGTCATTAAAAGGTGATGTTTGGCTGGGGGGCAGTGGCTCACGCCTGTGATGGTAGCACTTTGGGAGGCTGAGGCAGGAGGGTCTCTTGAGGCCAGGAGTTGGAGACCAGCCTGGACAACTTGGTGAGATCTTGTCTCTACAGAAAGTAAAAAGAATGAGTCAAGAGTGGTGACACATGCCTGTAGTCCCTGGTATTTGAGAGGCTGAGGTGGGAGGATCGCTTGAACCCAGTTCAAGATTATGTGATGATGTTTCTGGGAAACAGTGCAGGACCTTGTCTCAAAAAAACATGGTGACTTTTGTTTCCTTCTCCTGGAAATAAAATATTTATTTTTTATATTTTATTTATTTTTATTTTTTACAGTTTAAAAAATAAAGCTAATAGAAGTAAAATAAGACCGTAAGATTGAAAAATGTATATGCTTGTGGAAAATCAGTTTTCCCACATAACTTTAAAAAACTATTGAGTATACTTTATTCCAGAAAATCTTAAATGACAGCCATAAATAATTTAAAGATGCTTTTTTTCTTTCTGCCTGGCTATGTAATTACAGTTTTGGTGATTGGGATTTCCTGTGATCTAGACAGCAGTGTTTTCAAGCCTTAATTTAGGAGTATCCTAAACTAGATTACTCTCTGATTTTCATAAATATGAATTTTCGCTGAATAGGATTTTCCAGAAAATTGGACGTTGTTTGGAAACAAGTTTTGGGCTTCCAAAGAAACTTATGTCTTTTGCTGGTTTTCTTTCTTTTTTTTTTTCAGACTCATGAAATGGCCACAGATGATAAGACCTCCCCAACATTGGACTCTGCTAATGATTTACCTCGATCTCCCACCAGTCCTTCACATCTCACACACTTTAAGCCTTTAACTCCTGATCAGGATGACCCTCCTTTTAAATCAGCTTATAGTTCTTTTGTAAATCTCTTTCGATTTAATAAAGGTAAGACTTATTCTTAAAGATCAGAGAACTTAACAGACTTGATTTTGGAAATTCTCTTGTTCAACTTTCATGCTATATGTTTGTAAGAAAGTGAAATATTAACAAGGTAATTGCTTAATTAAATTAATTATTTATTTTTGAGACTCAGTCTCACTCTGTCATCTTGGGTTGAGTGCTGTGGCACACAGAGACTTCATACTCCTGGGCTTAGGTGATCCTCTTGCCTCAGTTTCTCTCTTTCTTTTCTGAGACAAAGTCTTACTTTGATCCCCTTGGTAGAGTGCCATGCTGTTATAGCTCACAGCAACCCCATACTCTTGGGCTCAAGCAATCCTCTTGCCTTAACCTCCCATGCAGCTTGGACTACTGGTGCCCACCACAATGCAGGGCTAGTTTTTCTATTTTCAGTAGAGACAAGGTCTTGCTCTTGCTCAGGCTCCTCTCAAACTCCTAAAAGGATTCTCTGGCCTTGACTTCCCAGAGTGTTAGGATTATAGGCATGAACCACCATGCCTGGTTAAGAGGTCCCTTTTAAAAAGGGAAAGTAGTATTCTTTGTTTTGCTATTGTTTTTTCTTAATATGCTTCAACTTCCTTAAATTCACAGAATGGACTTTTACTCTTTTTGGGGTTAATAGGCAAAAGATTTTAATTAAAGGAGTGAAAGTAAAAGGAATAGTGAATAGTCCATGAGAGTAAAGATTTGTTTTTCAAAAATGAGAAGCTGTCATCAGTAGGCCTCTTGTTGACTTAAACCCATTAGATTAAGGTATACATGTAATGACATCAAATGAAAAGTTATCGTATTAATGAGCTCTGTTTAAGTTATATGTTTTGTACTTGGAAAAAGAATGAAAATATGGTGTATATAATTTGCCTTTCATTTGTTTTACAGTTTAACTCAGTAGAAATCTTAGTAGTAGTAATTTACTTTTATTAGTGGTCACGTTTAAAGTGCTTTAGATGCTCTTCTTGATACATTTGTAAGACAGTGATCTTTCAAAAAAAATAAACTTTTTTAGAACAGTTTTAGATTTACAGAAAAATTAAGAACATAATACAGAGAGTTCTCATATACCCCCGTACCCAATTTTTCCAGTAATTAACAACTTATGTTAGTATGGCACATTTATTATATTTAATGGGCTTATTAACTAAATTATGTATTTTATTCAGATTTCTTTTGTTTTTACCTAATGTTCTTTCTCTATTCTAAGATTCCATTGCATTTCCTTGTCGTAAGATAATATTTTTGTTTATTTAGCAAATGTTTAATGAATACCTGGCTTGTGCTAGGCACTGTTTTAATAGTGCAAGGAGTCTATCTCATAAGCAGATTAAAAAAAACCCTTGCCTTTGTGTCAAGCTTACATTCTCTTTCCTTTACTGTGCTGAAGTAAGTTCTTTTTCTTTTTTCTTTTTTAATCAACTAAGTGCAGTTGGTAAGTCAAGAAATTTCTAAAGGCTGGGCATGGTGGCTCATGCCTGTAATCCCAGCACTCTGGGAGGCTGAGATGGGTGGATTGCTTGAGTCCATGAGTTCAAGAACAGCTCTGAGAGTGAGACCCCAAAACCCTGTCTGTAAAAATAGCCAGGTGTTGTGGCAGGCAGGTGTGTGTAGTCCCAGCTACTCAGGAGGCTGAGGCAAGAGAATTGCTTGGGCCCAAGAGTTTGAGGTTGTTGTGAGCTGTGACACCAAGGCACTGTACTGGGGACAAAAGTGAGACTGTCTCCAAAAAAAAAAAAAATAGAAATTTCTAATGAAATATAAAACAGAAGATTATATAGACCAAGGATGTGATTATTGGCCTATAATTTTGCCCCCATTAAGTTTTTTTTAAAACCCCTAATTTTTACATTAAAAACAAATTTTTTTTTTTTGGTAAGATAGAGTCTCACTCTATTGCCTGGGGTAGCATGCAAACCCAAATGCCTAGGCTTAAGCATTCCTCCTGCGTCAGCTTCCTAAGTAGTTGGAACTACAGATGTGGACCTCCATGTCTGGCTAATTTTTGTAATTTTTTTTTTGAGACAGAGCCTCAAGTTGTCATCCCGGGTAGAGTGCTGTGGCATCACAGCTCACAGCAACCTCCAACTCCTGGGCGCAAGCTATTCTGCCTCCGCTTCCCAAGTAGTTGGGACTATAGGTGCCCGCCACAACGCCTGGCTGTTTCTTGGTTGCAGCAATTGTTGTTTGGCGAGTCCAGGCTGGATTCGAACCTACCAGCTAGCTGTATGTGGCTGGCGCCTTAGCTGCTTGAGCGACAGGCACCAAGCCTAATTTTTGTATTTTTATATATATATATTTTTTGAGGCAGAGTTTCATTTTGTCGCCCTCGGTAGAGTGCTGTGGCACTCCAGCAACCTCCAACTCCTGGGTGATTCTCTTGCCTCAGCCTCAAGAGTAGCTGGGACTACCGGTGCCCACCACAAAGCTGGGCTATTTTTTTGTTGCAGTTTGGCCGGGGCCGGGTTAGAATCCTCTACCCTTGGTATATGGGGCCGGTGCTCTAGCCACTGAGCCACAGGTGCTGCCTAGTTTTTGTAGAGAAGAAGGGTATTAGTATGTTGCTCAGGATGTTCTTAAATTCCTGGCCTTTCGCACTAGCCTTCCAAAGTGCCAGGAGTTCAGGGGTGAGCTAAAATCCCCGACTTTTTAAATTATGAGTGTAATACATGAATACATTGATTATTGCCTGAAAAATTCCATCTACTTTCTTCTCTTTGCTGAACTCTTGACTCTTAGTGTTCCAAATAACACCAAGGTTTACCTCACCACAGAGAGAGCAGAAGGAGCCCAGGGAGAGCAGCAGCCTCTTGGTGGAAGTTGGACCAGCCCGCAACTTCCTGCAAGGACACAGTCTGTGAGGTCTCCCACACCTTATAAAAAACAGCTTAATGAGGAACTTCATCGGCGCTCTTCGGCAGTATTAGGTAAAACAGTTCCTATTTCCTACTTCTCCACGTGCTAGATTTTTCCAGTCATTGTTGTTTTCTAGGTTGTTTATTAACTTTCTGCTATTTATACTAGTAAAAGTATTTTTCAGAGTAAAACTGTCATCTACTTAGGGAAAGAACGTGTTGACATCTGAAAAAAGATTCTTAAACATGTCATTCATCTTTAATTTAGATGGGGCACAGGTCTCTTGACTTTTTTTGATTAATTACTTGCTTGGGTTTCAGCAGAGGACAGTTTGCAACATTCCCAGGAGAACACAGGTGAGTTTCAACGTTGTGAATGAATTCTATTCTTGGGGTGCTAGTGAAATGGGATATGCATGCCTCTGGCTGCAGAACTCTGTCACTTCCATTAATGGGCTGCCACTTGCTCTTGGCCTCTGTCCTTGTTGGGGTGCTTATCCAGACTTTCAGTGTGGCTGGATAAAGTGAGCTCCTTGCTTGTTTTTCATCCTGGTCTCCTCCATAGTCATCTCCTTCATTTTCATGTTCTTCTGATGAGTATGGGCTGGGGATCAGTGTCAGAATGTTAGGCTAGAGGAAGTGAGGTGGTTTATATTTTATCTGTTAGATTGTTAAATTCAGTAAAGTGGTTACCAAAGTCAGGGTGATGGAAGAAGTGTGTGGGAGGTGGCATGATAGAGGGGGAAAAGCTGGAGGTTTGGGAATCAGGTGTCCCTGAAACCAGATCTGATCTGGTCTGGGTGATCTTATGAGATCTTTGAGTGAAAAATAGGAGCAGGTAACAGTGGTTGGCAGCACCTGCCATATCACCTCCATAGGTTTTCTAGGGCAATGAGACTCAGCCTGGGTTACATCAGCCATTTGGAGGAAGAATCCAAAGGGGAGGAGGGAGAGAGGAACTCTCCTTTTATTGCAGATCATTTCCATTTTGATCTATAACCTCAATAAACTCTCCTTAGCTCTTAAACCTGACCCATGGCAATACTTTTTTTTTTGAGACAGATTTTCACCCTGTTGCCCAGGCTAGAGTGGCATGGCGTCATCCTAGCTCATGGCATCCTCAAACTCCTTGGCCAAGCAGTCCTCCTGCCTCAGTCTCCTGAGTAGCCTGGGTAATTTCTCTATTTTTAGTAGACTTGGGGGGGG